TACGGTATCTCCTCCAAAGACAGAGAGGTCATCAGGCTGGCGGTCAGAAATCCTGATAGTGGGCAGGTGTCGTTGTTTGGCGTAAACAGCTTGCCGTTTGGAGCCTCTGGTTCAGTTGGTGGTTTTCTTCGTGTTAGCTTAGCAATATGGTTTTTGGGCCTATCAATTTTCAAGCTGGTATGGACGGCCTTCTTTGACGATTATACAGTTTTTTCTAGGGACTCCCTGATCTCCAACACGTCCAAGACGGTGGAGACGCTGTTTGATCTGCTGGGTGTTGAATTCGCTAAAGACGGCGACAAAGCTGGAAAGTTTGCAAAGAAGTTCAAAAGCCTGGGAGTGGAAATAGATCTTCAGTGTTTTGGTTCTGGAGTGATCCACTTGGGCCACACCCAAGATAGGAAAGAGGAGCTCAATTTGGTCTTAAAGAGATTCTCAAAGAGAAGGCCATCAACACCAAACAGGCAGAATCCTTGCGTGGACGGCTTCACTGGTTCGAGTCATTTGCTTTTGGAAGGGTTGCAAACAGCTCTGTAAAAGCGCTGGGTGACCTTGCTTTGAGTGGCAAAAGGCGGGTGGAGCTTTCCGCAAAAGACATTTCAGCCTTGCAGTTCCTCTGCGAAAGGGTCTTGGTTGCACCACCGCTTGCCATAACCCCTTCATGTTTACAGTCGTGGGTCATTTTCACAGATGGGGCCTGCGAAGGACAGGAGGGCTTGAAAACAGGTGGCATTGGCGGAGTGCTTATCAACCCGAGTGGCAGCATAGTTTCTTTCTTTGGAGGCGAAGTCCCTGCCAAACTTATGAGTGTTTTGTTATCCAAATCAAAAAACCCCATTTACGAGCTGGAGGTCCTTCCAGTGGTGGTGTCAGCATGGTTATGGGGACAGCAGATGCAGTCCTCCCAGGTCTGCTGGTATCTTGACAACGAGGCTGGAAGGTCAGCATACATCAAGGGCCACGGGGCCACGATGGTAGCAGCTGAAATGGTGAATGACTTCACAAACGTAGAAATGCAGCGGCAGTTGAAGTCATGGTTTGCGAGGGTACCTTCTCTTTCCAATTTGGCGGATTCACCAAGCCGACTGAAGGACGATTTTCTTCTTGGTCTGGGTGCGGTGAAAGGGCCGATTGACTGGATGGCAGTGGGGAAACTTCTTGGGCTGTGTGTCTCAGTGGGGGACGGAACGGCAGCTAACCAATTGTGATTTCCCCCAGTGCACCAGTTGAAAAAGCGCGAGTGATCCAGCTTCAGTGTCAGCCGTTTTTCAACTTCAGATGCTGCATGTTTTGTTTTACATGTCAAATTTTGGAAAGAGAAGAAGTTTTTAAAATTTTTGGAGGAGATGAATGTTTGATGAACGCATCAAACTCGCAGTGGCAGTTGGGTTTCTTGTGGCAGGCGTGTTAGGACATTGAGCATCGCGTATTAAGGGTTTTCACCCTTTATATACGTGTATGTTGTTTATAGATATATGAATATATGGACATGCGCTATAGGCCCACGGTTTTCCTTGTACTAAATAAGTTGCTACTCTTTGGAACAAAGATCGTAACCTTATTTGGACAAAGGAAAAATGTTTTTGTTAAACAAAAACATAGTGGGCAGAATGTGAAATGCGCAGTTCATAAAAAAAACAACAGTTTGTGGAAACACGTCTGTTCTGTTTTTTTAATTTTTTGAATCTCTTTGGTGCGAACACCAAACCTTCAACCTTGGGGTTTTGTTTTCCAAGAAACAAACCTGAATTTTTAAACCTGTGTGAACATGTCACAACAGTTCATTATTTGAGTGTCGAAGTCCTTTTTCCGCTCACAGCTCTGGATGTGGTGTGGTGACACCCGCCCATATCCCACCCGCACAACACCAAACTCCATAATTTTATTTCTGTGAGCCAAGACTTCGTGCAATGGCCGACGAGGTACCATTAATTGAGGTGAGAACCCAGACTGCACTGCAGCAAACGCTGCTCCCGTTCGAGCCAGAGCGTTTTGCCCTCTTACAGATTCATAGATCCCTTCAGATCATTTACCTCATTCATCAATATGACTGGAACGTGGCCGGAATCTACAGCTTTTTACGAGCTCGAGATCAGGACATGCTGTCAATGTGTTGCTACGCGACGCGCCGAGAGCACGTCGAAAGGCGTACGGCTGAAAATTTTTTCTTGTCGCCCACATCCGCATGTGGCAAAATTCGGGGCTTCATAGCCTACCCCTAGCCGATGACGGAACGGCAGCTAACCAATTGTGATTTCCCCCAGTGCACCAGTTGAAAAAGCGCGAGTGATCCAGCTTCAGTGTCAGCCGTTTTTCAACTTCAGATGCTGCATGTTTTGTTTTACATGTCAAATTTTGGAAAGAGAAGAAGTTTTTAAATTTTTTGGAGGAGATGAATGTTTGATGAACGCATCAAACTCGCAGTGGCAGTTGGGTTTCTTGTGGCAGGCGTGTTAGGACATTGAGCATCGCGTATTAAGGGTTTTCACCCTTTATATACGTGTATGTTGTTTATAGATATATGAATATATGGACATGCGCTATAGGCCCACGGTTTTCCTTGTACTAAATAAATCCCCCGTTTTCTTTGGTAAAGATAGTTTCTCTAGAGCCTAGAAACTTATACCACTAAAGCCAAAATAAATACAAACACCAAAAAATAGATATTACATATAAATAACTATACATACATGTAGTGGGCACCTATAGTTAGGGGATCCCTATATACAATTATATACAATTATTTTATTATTTTTGTATATACGCGGGAGATTCTTGAGCTGCCAGGGAAAGGCTGGCCCGGCTCAAGAGCCACTTCAACATTGAGATCGTGCGCAAGTACAGGTGCAAGAGAACAGGTGCTCCTAAAGTAGTGGCTTGGCTTCCGTATTCGGGTTTCCCAGACGACGAACCAGCAATGGCCCCAAACTTTCTAACTCGTATTTCCCCAATGGGTTCTAAGTTAGCTTTATGATAAGCATGTAGGCTTCCCCAGCTCCCTGCCGGGTGTATGTTGTGACTTCCAAGAAATATATTTCCACCACAAAGACATAGTCGGCCTCTTAAAACTTTGGGATTTGGGGTTGACGCACCAAAGTAGAAGAACGCAATCCCAATTTTGATCCATTTTGCTGCCAATACTTTAGGGGAAATTCTTTTAGTGGATTGCAGCAACATGTGGCTGCACCCAGTTCAAGGATCGACAGAGTGTCGGCTTCAACCCACCCAGAACTGTCATGAATTGCCCAAATCTAATTCCAAAATTGTTGTTTACTTGATACCTACCTCATCCCATAGTTCGGTGGATGAGTTTCTTTTTCTTGGTTTATAAATAAATACATATATATATATATGAAAAAAAAAAAATATATATATATATGGGAACATCTCAAAATAGGAATGCCCCAAGCTCATTTGTTTTAGTTGGAAAAGAGGGGCTTGGGGCATTCAGTTATGGCACCCCTATTCTGAGACATTCCCATATATGCAACTCAAAGATACCGCCCGCTACCCCCCAAGGCGGGTGGAAAGCATTTAACCAAAACTGCAGCCTATCCAGTTGGCCTGGGGCTCACTGTTGGCAAGTTGATGAAAGAGTACCTGCCTCTTGGTTTTCATTTGCCAACCCAGCAAGTGTTTATTTTTGGTTAACTGTAATGACTAAGATTGTGAGACGTTTGCGAAATGCAATCCAGTTGCCCTGCAGCCATGTCGATGTCGCAAGTGCAAGTGCAATCGCCAGTTGGCTCTGTGATCGTGCCTCAACCGAGGAAGGGCGAAGCGGTTGTTCAGCCCGATGAAGGTCTGCAGTTCTCAGATGCAGATGACTGCTCTAGTGATAGCGGAATTGATCATTTGTTGGACTAAAAGTCTACCTTACAGGGATGTACCGAAGCGCAATGTGAAAGAAACATTAAGGTGCACAGCTGCAAATGTCATAAACATGGCGAAAGTTAACACCACTGATATCGAAAGTATACATATGTTCATGCTTTGATTGCATGCTGGCTCTAAAGTGATTCGGTTTTCCCGGTGAAAAAACACCTGTGGTGCGGGAAGAACCTCAGCTGAATATAGTTGCCATTAAATTTAGTTTTTTATTCAACCACTTTTGCGGGGCTCGCCCTCCAATACCCATTCTTTTTTTCCAAGGAGCTGTAGATTTGTCGCATGAAAATCCTCGGCTCCAAAGCGGGTCCACGGGTTGTTGGTCAGCAATGTGAGGCTGATCTCATTATATATATATATATTTGTGTATATATATATATATATGTATATATATATATATATCAGATATTTCGCTACGGAGGTGGCAGCTTTCATATGATATGAATTTCGCTATGACCCCACGAAATTTCACGAAGAATCAAGAATTTCACGACGCACAGACTTAAATGAGTATTCGACTGCTGTGCAAGAATTTCATGACACAGCGAAATTCATGACACGAAATTCATGACACAGCGAAATTCATGACACGAAATTCATGACACAGCGAAATTCATATCATACTAACTGGTTTGTGTGAGAAAAGTGCTCGCGAGAGTTTGCGAGAATTTCCGTGAAGTTATATATATAGCTAGCCCATAAGATCTTGAAGCGTGAATCTTCCGAGAATTTTGTAACAGCCCAAAGCGCCCAAGGAGCGATCTGGGCCTTCCCATATGAATCTGGATCTGCATTAGAACATCACACAGTACATGGAAAGCACCTGCATTCATATAATATGGTGGTTTGTTTTCTGTATACAGCCTGCTTGCACCTACAGGACAACTACACCTCCGTCAAGGAGGTGTAGATCAAAGACACCGACGGTGACTTCCAAACCGGACTTGGCAAAAATGATAGCTGCCCAGGCTACACCAGAGGACCGGGAAAGACTCAAGCTTCTTATGAGCAAGGGTGCGAATGTGAAAGATTCGATTAAGGACTGGGTTGCCAACAAGTTAAAGGGAAAGGGTAAAGGCAAAGGGAAGAGTGTGAGAAGTGGTGGATCTCTCATGGCTCCGCCGAGCTCTTGGGTTGACCGGGAGCCTACACTGCACCGCAGCAACCAAACAACCTTTTCCTCACCTGACAGTCAGGTCAACCCACCAGAACCTGTCAATGCTGAGTTAGTGAAACGGCATGGTGGCAGAACCTTTTTCCAATCAGCAGAAGCACACGATGAAGAAGACCTTGCTGATGAAGCAGTGTCTACAAAGAAGGCATCTAAGAAGACAGCAAAGAATGACAATACAGGCAAGACAAAGCAGCATGCAGATGGAGAAGACCCAGCTGGAGAAACACCGACGGCACTGGCAAAGAAGACGGAGAAACGGCCTGCAAAGAAGGATGATACGGGGAAAGACGCCAAGAACAGCACATGTGAAGAAGCACCCCATGATGAGACAGCACCGGTAAGGAAAGCAAGACCGAAGAATACAGATAAGCAAGATGATGCTGAGCCAGATGAGGCACCCGCAAAGAAGCCAAAGAAGAAAACTTCAGAGAATGATGCTGCACAGACGGGTAAGAAGAAGCCTACAACAGATGAAGAAGAACCCTGTGTTGATACGACAGAGATGTCAGCAAAGCAGCCGAAGAAAAAACTGGCAAAGAAGGCTGATGAAGGGACGAAGGCACCAGTGGCACATGCAAGGAAGATGGATAAGACGCCTTCACAGAACAAAGATGTGAAGACCACTACAAAGGATAACCAGACAGAGGAAGAAGAAGATGATGAGACATTGGCAAAAGAGGCAAAGAAGGCAAGGAATGCAACGAAGAAGACAGAAAAGAAGACTGCAGATACGGAGGATGCAGAGGAGAGCACGGAGGAAGACTCAGACGACACCACTGAAGCTATCTGCAAGATGATCCATGATGGTGATGGTGATAGCGCCTCGGATGAAGATGAGGCACATGCTATTGAGAAAGCGATGTTTCGACTGATGGAAGCAGAGGGTTCTAAAGCGGTTCACCTCTTGAAGAAAATGCTTCTTGACAGAAGGCGACGGGCTCAGCGCAGAGCGAATGGCAGGAAGACACAGAAGCCAGCCACGGAAGACATCCCAGATGGCGCTGAGTCGGCACCAAAAAGAAAGAAACCTTTGGAGGAAGATGCGGTGAAAAACAAGAAGAAGCCCAAGAAAAAAGAAGACCCCGGCGATGAAGTGGACAGCAAACGAAGGCAAGGAGGTGACGAGGGGAGTTGACGAGGAGCAAGAAGAGCAAGAAAGATGAAGAAGACCCCGCTGATGAAGTGGCACCATCAAAGAAGACGAAGGAGGATAAGTTGACGAGGAGCAAGAAGAGCAAGAAAGATGAAGAAGACCCCGCTGATGAAGTGGCACCATCAAAGAAGGCGAGGGGTGAGACGAAGGAGGATGAGTTGACGACGAGGAAGAAGAGCAAGAAAGATAAAGAAGACGTCGTTGATGATGAAGTGGCACCATCAAAGAAGAAGGAGGAGGAGTTGACGAGGAGCAAGAAGAGCAAGAAAGATGAAGAAGACCCCGCTGATGAAGTGGCACCATCAAAGAAGACGAAGGAGGATAAGTTGACGAGGAGCAAGAAGAGCAAGAAAGATGAAGAAGACCCCGCTGATGAAGTGGCACCATCAAAGAAGGCGAGGGGTGAGACGAAGGAGAAGGGCAATGAGTTGAGTAGCAGAAAGGAGCAACAGGCAGATGAAGAGGATGCTGATGAAGAAGAAGTGGCATCCACAAGGACGGCAAAAGGTACAACCCCAGAGAAGGAGGATGAGATGAAGAGCAAGGAGAAACAAGCGGTAGATGGTGAAGGCCCCGCTGATGAGCAACAAGTGGCACCCGCAAAGAAGAAGAGCAAGACAGTCAAGAATGGCAAGGAGACCCAAGAAGGTGAGACATATGTCACCCCCAAGAAGAGCAAGCAACATCACCCCGACGAAGCAGACACCCAGGAGCTCGCAACCCCCCCAGTGGCAGAAACAGAGGTTGATGAGGAGGATCCTTGGGAGAATTGGTGGGATGACGAAGGTTGGGACATGCGGGATGAATACTATGAGGAACAAGGTGGTGAGTGGGTGGAGGACGATCCCAGTCAAGAGTTGGAGAGCCAGCTCGAAAAGAACAGTGGGGAAAAGAAGGATGAGGCAGGGGACCCGGGAAACACACAACAGCTCAAGCTCCCTGATATGAGATCCGTTCAGTTTTACAAACCTTTAGGTTTCACCAAGCCCACCATTAAAGGGGGTGCGCCCAGCCCGAAGCAACAGATCACGCTGACAAACATGAAGTCCGTCCGCTTCCATCACCCTTTTGAGGATGCAGGGCACCCTTCGAACGAAGGGACCACACCAGGCGGGGGGGGTGTGACCCAACTTGCACGCAGTTAGTTTCACAACTGTGCCCCGAAATAAACACGATATACATTCCTGACTTAATGTTTTTTTAATCATAGTTGTGTGTTCCATTCCCTACGTTAAAGATTTCCGAAAGCTTACCCAATTAAAGAATGGCCTACACAGATATTGTGATAAACCAAATAGTTTCACCAGCTACAATACTGGGTGCGCTATAGCAAGGCAAAACCTTTGGCTACATCCATCCTTCATGTCAAACATCATACTCAACATCATCCCAGTCATATATATGTCATGGCTCACAATCTATCTAGTGTGCCTCGCCAAAAAATGCCCTGAGGTGGAAGCCCTGCAGCTACAACTGAACCGACCAGCTCCCCAACAAGTGTTGTGGAGAGTTCCCATGACCCAGCTGAAGGGAAGAATTGTTTGCAACTTGAACCATTATTTAGTTGCGAATTTCCTGTATATTGAAATCCCTTAACGGGCATCCCAAATGAAAACGCGAAGGATCCCATACTGTAACTTCCAATCGATCAAGATAAATCTTCCATTGAATGAAGGTCCCAAAATAAATTGGAGTTCCAAAACAAAAGTGGTGGTCTAAAATGGATGGTCTGTGACATCATATATTTTTTCAAAAAATATTGGTGTCACGAAAAATGGCTCGGAGCGTCCATTTATTTTAGAACCCCCGTGTAAGGATTGGGGCTTATCGTCCGGCAATCGGTCAATTAAGGCGCCGCTCCAGCACATCCACAACTGTTGATTTCGTTGCCGGGTGGCATTTAAAGGTTGCAAAGGTGTAAAACAATTTTGACTAAACTGTTTTTTCCCGTCCATACCCTTGTCAAATCCAACCACCATCAACCCGCTGCTTGCAGGCAGATGGCCATGGCACTGTGAAGCTCCGGCTTGCAGTTCGCGACACCGATGGCAAGCTTCGTCGAGCCGGCAGCCCCAGAAAGTCCTCATTGCAGCCACATGAGGTATATGTTCATTAGAGTTTTTCATTGTGGTCTCAGGTCAAAAATTTGAGCCCTGAGCAAAAGGAATGCCTCCAACAGCTCACCAATGCGGGGCAGCTGGACATTCAGGAGTGGTGATAAGTTTCAAAAATTTTCTTTTTGACATGCCATTGATTATATATATATATATATCACCTAGCACACGTGAAAGGAGCGAAGGATGCTCTACAGTGCTATGGACAGGAGATTTTCTGCCGGAGGCGCGGCAAAATAGTATATACGTTTGACAACCCGTTTGGTCTAAAACTTCTATGCGTACTAAACCCCATCCATGGTGCCAGACATGCCTCCTGCACTTCTTCAGAAGTATTACGAAGCGGCTGGTTCTCATACCAAGAAGCACCCTGGCTAATTAGTAGCATGCCAACTTTGAACTTGAAATATTTCCCCGGATTCCCACTGGTTTTCATCTTAGGTTTCAGCTCTTGAAGGAGTGGCTTTGCGCTGACGAAATGCGCCTTCAACTTGAATGGAAATAGTCAACACCGTGCCAAAATAGCAGTACCCCAACCATTCTCACGCCAAGCATCCCGTTCATAAGGCGTGATGTGAACTTGGAAGGCAGCATCGAACAGTGCCTCAGCTCGCAAAATATTTTGAAAGGCTCGGCATCTCAGCAATTTGGTGCATTCTATCCAGGGGGTATTGCAGTGTTCCGGAAAAATTGGAAACAGTTTCAACTTTCAATTTCTTTTCAAATTTTAACATTTTCTGTGTTAACGGTCTTGGCCCCTTGATCATAGGTCCAAGAAAGACCAAAACTACGAAGTCTTTGTGGAAATGACGTTGCTTGATATCGAAGCCAAGTATGGCGGCACTGAGTCTGGAAGGACCCTTATCCGGGATGATTTCAAATTACCCCCAAGTGATTCGTTACCGGGATGGTATATTGCTTGCTCCCTAGGTGTAAAACAAAACATGTTGAGCGTGCAGTAGATGTCAACACATATGCAGGCAGCTGCAGGCATAGTATCATTATACATATATATATATATATACATGCATGCATGCATGCATGCATGCATGCAGACATACATACATACATACATACATAAATACATACATACATACATACAGACAGATAATTTTATGTTGTTCTTAAGTTGCACGGTGCCCTTAATATATCTTGGGTATCTGTCGATTTGGAAACATATTCAAACACCAACTACATTGGGCCTTGGTGGTGCCTGCAGGAAGTTCATCGACAAGTTGAAAGCAACTCAGAAGGGCCGGGCGCACCCTGACCCTGGATTCAAAAAAGATAAGAACATGCGTTTGTACAAGATCTTCAAACATGTTGAGCACAAAAGCGCTCGCCTTAGCCATGAAACAACTTAGCTTTCTGTACCAGTTGAACTGCGAAGTGCAACAGGGATGCAGCCCATTACCATCCACAATGCCGATGATGGTTAAAGACATCAAGATCACCTAAGGGCCCGTGTTTTAGTGTTTTGGTGACAATAGCAAATCAATTCCGTTGTTCTTGCTTCGCCAAGGTGGGCACGAGAACACAGCAAGCACCAAGATCTATGCAACTGGAACCCTACCTACTGGGCCTGGTGGGGTGGATGGTGAAACTGAACCTGCCACGAGCACTGCCCCTGCCACCGGCACGGGTGCTGTGCCTGCCACGGGCGCTGCGCCTGCCACGGGCACGGGTGCTGCGCCTGCCACGGGTGCGGCTTTGGCCATCACTGGGTCTGGGGCTGTGGTTGCTACAGGGGATGCCAGTAGCACCAATGAATGCCCACGCATGGCATTGGGAACCATGCTGGATCAAATGGCTGTTGTGGGTCCCAAACATGAAAAGGCAAAGAAGGCGGAGAAATCGGATGATGAAGATTCAGATTCAGAAAGTGACAGTGAAGGAGATGGAAAGAAAAAAACAAAAGAATAAGAAACCAAAGGGCCCCAAAGAAGTGTCTCCTGAGGCGATTTGCTTTTCCTTCTCAAATATTCCACAGTTCACTTTATAACAAATGCTTTTTGGTTTTGGGGCATCCCCAAAAAAAGGAAGCACGGTGGTATTCTTATCAATTACCAACTGGTTATCCCACATTTGACTTGTTCTCGTTGGTAGGTCAAAGCCCAGCGTGAGCGAAAGGCGAAGTTGCAGAAAATCAACAGAGCGCCCGGCCCTCACCAGCACCATCATACTTTCCAAGTTGCCATAGGTGTTGCCTTGTCGGTGAGGTGCAGGGCCTTGGCCGGCAAGGTTCGAAATGCGGCCCAAGAACTGGGCCAGTTCAAAGGCCATGAGGCAAGCCACAGTGCAGCCTGTTTCAAACTCACATAATTTACCAAGCCTCAAACTTTAAGTAAGTTGCTACAGCGATTTTGCATAAATACATGTAACTTGCACCAGTTCATTTCCTCCATGAGGAGCTCAAGGACATGCTGAAGAACAAGCATTCATGGGTCAACGATTTGGCCGAAGAGTGGGGTACTCAATTATACGTTTTTATCTAACTGTTTTCCCGAGCCCGCAAATGCTCAGGATGGAATCCATGGCGATCAACGGCAAGACCGATGTGGAGATCGAACAGTTCTGGAAAGGGAAACAAGCTGAAGTCGAGGTCGATTTCACTAAGACTAAGACATGTACGCGCTCTATAGTTTTATCACTGATACGTGTCATGTCCAGAGTCCATGCCCACTTGCCAAGTCACATCTCATCGCTGTCTGCACCAGGAACTGGAAGACAGGGTGGAGAGCGCCAAAGGTGCAGCCCGGACTTTGCGCAGCCGTCATTTCCTCAGCTTGTTTCCATTCAAAATGGAGTCACTCCGACGCAGAAGCAACCTATGTAAAAGATCGCTTTGATCAACATTTGCCAAAAGGCCAGAGGAGAAGGGAAAGCAAAGTGGCAGCTAGCGAAGTTGCATCAACTGCAGCTTTGGAGGATGTCGAGGAGGCTGGGGCCCCTCATTGTACATGCTTATTCAGCGGCACCCTGTCTCAACACAATTACCTGATTTCTTTTGCAAACGGGATGCGGTTGTGTAGACTGCCGCGCACATGCCCTGGCAGGATTGATCTGATCCACGTACGTCCTTGGCTGGGTTCGTGGCAGCTCACAAACCCGGATTTGGATGCCCACACCATGGGTTGTCAGTGGCTGCATAGCTTTTAGCTTTTGGGCAGCTGAATCCTAGCTGTTCCGATGAGATCGGCTGGGCCAGGGTTTATGGATTCAATGCCTTGGCATTAGGATGCACTGTGTAAAACCTGCAGTGCAAGTTGCTTTGGCTTGATCCTTTGGGGATCTTGTGATGGCTTAGACCAGATGCGTAGAACCACACGCAACACGGACAAAAAAGTCTTTGAAGCCAGTGCTTGGCCCAGCTAACTACTATAGTTTTGTAAAATGATGTCCCATTTTAAGGGAAAGCTCCCCCATTCAAAGAAATAACAACATTGTTACCCTATACTGCTGGGAGGCTGCGGCTGCTGACCCATCAACGGGTATTCACAAACTGGTGCGTGACCTGATGGAGATGATCATGGCGGGGAAGGCCAAGCTTCCGCATATAAAATTAAACAATCACATTGGTAAATCTGTTGATCTGAATCCCATCCCGGCAGCTTTCTTATTTCCACATTGTTCCAACCCAATCTTGCGACAGGGGTCTATGATTGCTTTGTCGAAACAGCTCAAGACCATCTTGGAGTTACCAGAGTACTTGGTTCCGAATCTTGACCTTTGGATATTTTGGATCAGACCACCAAAAAATATAATTAAGGGTTGAAATTGATCAAACATATAGGTCAACCTGTTGCCCAACTTCGCCCAAGGAGACCGATTCTGGATCTCGCGTGGAAGTTTGACAGCAGCGGTGGTTGGGGGCACGAACGTGCTTTTCAAACATGGTGCAGTGAACAAGAATTCCGTCAATGTTTCCCTGACATGCTTACGTTTGAAGTCCCAAAAGCACCTTGCCAAATTGCCCCATCTATTGTCTGTTTTTTTTTGATGCTTTGATCCCGCTGAAAAACTATGTTAGTTCCACAACATCTTTGTAGGTAAAGCCGCAGCCTGGCGGAATCCAATATGTGAAGATTGGGATGTATTTGCCCCATGACCTCTTTGCTTCTTTCTATCACTGGCGAAATGGCGTCCACTTCTACAGTCTATTTGCGGGTACCCCTCAGGAACCTTTACTGCACTGAGTAGTAACCCAATGCAGTTTGGGATCCGCTGGATGGAAATTGTCGCCCCCTTGATGTCGCTCTGAAGGATCTGGAGGAGTATTGGCAACAACCTCGGAACAGGGAGCTTGCCGTCCAGACTTGGGGAGAGGACCCGATGGGTGATGTGATCAAAGCCGTCCCATTTCGTCTCTATGGTGATGGGGCTGATGTCTTGGGAGGCTTGGCTGTTTTATTCCTGTGTTTGGTTGATTTTTCCTGTGCCAAGCTTGGGGGTATATATAGGGGCCCCCAAATAGTTGGCACAAACGGCACACGCACTAAGATGGCATCAGTGAAATTTCAACCTCATATGTTGGTTCAGTGTGTGCCGTCTATCGGGTCACGACAAAATGCAAAAAAAAACTGCTAATTGTAGCTATTTGCAAAAGCCATCTTAGGGCACTAAACAAAATAATATATATATATATGTCTATATATACATATGACATATACTTACATATATGTATATATAAATAATGATATATATATATATATATATCCATATCCCCGGAGTATGGTGTGCCATCTTTGGAACCTAGAAATCTTTATACTTGTTAACGAGGTCAAGTATACAAGTATCCCGTGAGGTATGCCATATGTAAACCCCTAAATCCTGTATACCCCATGTTTGCTGTTCTTAAAGCTTAGATTGCATTTTTGATGTTTGTTACGGATGCCAACTATTCGGGGGCCCTATATCCGTCAAATATATATTCTTATAGTTAGTAGTAGGGGTTACCCCATGTGATGTTCGGAAAGGTTTACCCCGGTTTGGGCGGTTAAGCAATGAGTGAAACATTGAATCCAGCGCGTCCAATAGAGCTGTTGCTCATGATGTTGTTTGGAATTTAAACCCTGAAAGTCTTGTAGCATTTCAATTCCATCTCCAGACCCCAAAACTTTGGATCCCACCTCTCAGGAACCCAGAACTTTGAACTGTTTTCAATGGTCTCAATTTTGGGCACTGGGACGTCCTCAAGGGACACGAGATTTCCGTGGCTTGCATGCAGCTAAGCTTCCTGTTTTCACAGCTGCAACCATAAAGAGCAGTGCAATCCAGATAGCGGCCACCATCAAAGCCACCTAGGATTTGCATTCGCAGCACTGTGACAACTGGTGCGGAGTGCCACGCCACCATTTTGGCGTGGATATCTTGGAGTTTTACTGCCATGTGCAGCCTGGAATGGTGAGAGCATTGTTTGTTCCTTTGTGGTGTCTAGCTGCAAGACCAATAAAATGTCATCTCGATAAACCATCAGATTATTAATATGAGAAATATGAGGGAATCCCAAAAGAATGTTTTCCCCATTACATGGTACCCCCAAACTACGGGTTTATTAATCATGGGTTGATTCTAAACAACAAAGGGTCCCAACAACAAGTCTTTCGATCCCCACAAATGGTTTGCCCTACAGGCTCCGGTGTGTGGCCACACGCGGATCCCTGGCAACGAGACTTTGATGAGTCATATCACCCCAAGTTCTGGAGGAAAGCAGGTATGTTGCTGGCAGACGGGTGGAAAGGATGTCTGGATGGGGTGCAAGCAGATCAAGAGTTCATTCACAAAGTGTTCAAACTTCAACGTTTCTCTTGTCAATACAGTTGTATGTTTTTTGAATTTTCCCCTGACCCAGTTTAAACTGATAAAACTGTTGCTACGATACCACAAGTGATGATCATTTTTTCAGGCCTAACAAATTTTCTTGAGGTTCGTGGCATGCCTACAGGAGGCATGTCTGTCACTACTGCGGTGCCGTACGGGCACTTGAAGGCGAGGAACCTGAATCACTGCTGTTCACAGCATACGGTGATGAAGCAGCTCATCGCAGCACGTTCCATGGCACAATTGCGCCGCATCCCAACGCTGTAAATTGGTGTCTTATTGAATTTTAGTTCAAAGATAGATCAAAATGGATCTGATACCGTTTTGTTTTTTTGATGGCATATGTGCCCCGATAAGGTTTTGTACAAGATTGGTCCCTCAGCCACAATTAGGTCTACAACCCTGGCACCGGTAGTTTTATGGGTGTCGGTGTCAGGCCAACTTGGTCGTGGGGCCCCACCTCCACGGGGTTTGTGATTATATTGATTATATTCCAAAGTCCATAGGGGATGTGATAAGAATTATATAACTTTTTCATCTTGATTACCCAAATACCCGCAAGAGGATTGTTAAATTTATCATTGGGGTTGTAAACCATTGGACCCATTGATTTGGAAACAGCGCCATGAGGCTGATCAAAACGAAAGAAGAATGGCTGAGGGTCCACGGGAGGACCCCATTTACCGACATCCCGGGGTTCAGTCCTCTCCGACACTCTGTTGATTGAAGGGCCCAGCAACTTTTGATTTTTCGGTTTCTGTTTCATGTTACGGTATAAAATAGCCCCAAAGCTTAAATGATTTCCTCATGCCGAACGTGGCCCAAAAGGAATCTATCCAGACATACTTCACATCTGCGACCTCCAAATGATCCCGGATGCAGTTGCTAGTGCTCTTTTTGAACTTGTCCAAGGGGGAAACAAAAAGCAGCTTCTGGAAGAGTTGCGGATTGACTATGAGAAGTGGTGTATGGAAAGCGGTTTCACGATAACTCATTTAGTGATTTTTGTAACCTTTTGTATTTCCACCGGACTTCAGGGTTTTTTCACAAACATATCAAATCGAAGCCAGAAACTTGTATTTTTTAAATTACCGGGGTTTCAG